GGATTTAGTAAACAATTCTATTGAAACATGGAAAATTATTCATCTACTATCTTTATAACTCATGGAATACTGTGTAATTGCCTGAGATATTTAAATATCTAGCTTCGAAAAATCTAGCGTGATATCGGTATGAAGCGGAAATCGGTATTTCATTGATTTCGGATAGATTGAAAAATCTCAGGGAAATTACCAGCGACCTTCATCAGTAGTTGTGTGGATTCTTTATGGAGCTATTACAGTGCTGAGGTCGTAAGCTCGGTTGTTCCTTACTCTTACATTCACATTGAAGTGTTACTAGTTGGTTCATAGAAATAAATCATCATTCAGATCTTTTATATTAGCACCACTTTAGTAAACTAGTATATGTCTCATTATTGAGTCTTAGGCTTAGCCTGTGTCCAACTTACGTAATTTAGTATTGTCCGTGACCAATAATTGAGTGCTTGAACACACCTAATTGTCAGTACTGTTTGCATTTATCAGGAGAAGCAGTTTCCGAGTGTTTGGTTCCTTCGTCTCCTAATTTATGAGTTATAAGTTGCACAGACGTATGTTTATGCACTAAGTAGCATCTCACTAAAACCTAACATAATTTGAACACCATACATCTGGTCATCCTTGAGTTTAAAACGAGCCATAGTCACATTACTGATGTCTAGTGTTCATTACTTGGTGTTTTATAATGTTTAAATGCGGACATGACTGTAAGCAGTTAAAGAAAACTCGTCTGAGTCTGGCTTTATTCATAAAAACTTCAGTGAGTTTTGGTGTATCGTGTATGCATATGACGTTGACCTCTTCTACCTGCAATTTAGTTTCCCTTATATCAGTAATGTGTAAATAATGGCAATATACATCTTATTGGTTTTATTTAAATGACTATCTACTAAGTGTTATGTCACCAAAGATTTTCGGAATCTCAATACATTAAGTCTTGTCTGGGATAAAATACCATCATGTTCTGTTATCTGTAACGGAGCTGGATTTGAGATGTGAACTCGTCGATTCAGTTTGGCATCTAGTTTACTGATGTCTTATGTGCTGATTTTGATATTCATTGTAATTAGCTTATCAGTAGTCATGTGTATTCCCTCATCTGCATACATACATGAACTGTTTTGTGACATTTTTGTGTCTAGGTCGTGTACATTCAGCTATTGTTAGTGGCATTAATACTAATGCGAAAACTGTGACTGTAGAATGGTATGAAAAAGGCGAAGCTAAAGGAAAAGAGGTTAGTATGAACTTGGCTAATTAGATTTTCTGTTTTAACATTGCATTTATTTCTACGTTTCAGGTACACAGTGATGCTACTAACTTTCACTATAACTAGAATTAATTCACTGGAAACAGTTTTCTGCAAGTTCTTATGTTACTGTATTCCTTAATATACATATAGTCGACTTATCAATATAGAGCCTGGTACTTGTATGTGTTGATCGAAGTTACTGTATCATATTAGAATGACGCAATGAAATTAACGGGACAGATAGTAAAAAGTAGAAATTATTTACAAGAAAAGACTGAGAAGCACAAAGTTTTGACAACCTAGTTCGAAAAGGTGGTGGAAAGTTGTGTTAAAGAATACTTGAATTCAAAATCGAAGGGAAGATATCGAGTGAATTCACTGCGCGATTGTGACGTGTTCTAAGCTGTCACCCAGTTTCCAGCGATTATATGTATATTTGCGTTATGCAAGTTTAAGATCTGTTAAATGCTGAACTCTTATAGTAGAATTTTTAAGATTTATGGAACTCGACATCATTCAAAGTCATACAAACCGTCTTGCTAATAAATCAATTTGAAAATGATTTTAAATAAAGTGAGGAAGCTTAGAAATGTTTGAAAAATTTCCTGGTAAAGGTAGCGATCTAAGGATTTAGTGGCCGGCTTACTAATTTTCTGGATACATAGCTTTAAATATTGATCACTTGTATACAGTATGAACTGCAAACACGGATTTAAACGTTTCTTCTCACTTATTGGGAACATAATTTTAATGTTATAGAGGTGTTTTCTCCGGTCTACGAACAAACCGAGAGTTTTACGGTTTATGGAATCATCTAAAGATCTGGTATGAAAGCAAGATCATAAAGGAATCCCCTCTGGCTAGTAACTAATTTGTTGTATTGTATAGAAGCAAATAACCATACCACTAATTAATTATTCCTTTTGATCATTGTGTTCTGTCATTGTTACTGAAGTTGATTGTGTACATAATTTCTATCGTCTGTAATAGAGTTTTCTTGTTTTTATTCTTTTTCTTTGTTTAGGTAGATTTGGAAGCAGTACTTCAATTGAATCCCAATTTGAGATACTCATATGTAAGTCATTTTTATGCAAGGTTTTGCACTATTAAGATCGAAAATCAGAAACATTGCTTGTTCAAAATCATCAGGTACTTAAGTAGTAGTGACCTGTCAGATCAGTCGGATTTGTTTGTTTTCAATGACTGCTAGATATCAACCAGTGGATGACTCGGTTTTTAATGGGTAGCAGTTTCTGTATCGTATATAATGAGGATAACATGTGTCACTGTGGGACAAGTCTTACGTAACAACGTGGTTAAAATCAGGTTTCAGACTTAGATTAGATGTAATGGCTCAATGGTTTTTCTCTTGATCACTAGTTCTCATACTGTACAGTTGGTTTAATGAAAAAACTATGATTGTACAATGTTAAAAACATCCTGGAAAAACAAACATGTGCTACTTTATGATTGTTATTATCGTAACGAGACCCGTAAGCCCACTCAACTTATTGTGGTCTGTCGATAGGCGATCTGATCGTACTCATAGAATGTAATTTTGACTATAGTTCGTCTCTAGAAGGGTATAACCAGTTACTTCCTAAGGACATTTCTAAATTCCCTGCAAATCCAACCTTTTGCTGTTTTTAGTTGTCACATGCAGTTACCCCTGCTTTCTCCCATTTTATTAATCGTTATGAAGCTGAATCAGAGTCATTGAGAACAAAGTGCGAATACGGTTGTAAGTTGTTACATCATTGCTTCCGTTTTCGTAGATTCAGAAGCCAAGCTATTGCACAACGTAGTATAATATTCTTGTTTTCTACACTAAATCATATTACTGGTTGTAGTACAATCGGATTATGATGGATCGTGCACTACTAAGCAATTGTGTTAAGCAAATAATTTCAGTACAGGTTTACCGGTTTTTGCGGTTTCAGGCAGTTTATGCTTTTTTGAATTTTGAATTGGCAATAGAATAGCAAATCTTTTGTCTATATCGATTGCACATTGATTTTTTAGCCCAACACAGATAATGCTTGTGAGACTGGTGATATCAGTCGAGAAAATTTATTGAAAGAAGTTCCAAATTCCTTATACCATCCTGAAATCAGTCTTCCTATTGATATACGGCAGTTTCAAAATCCTTCCGTTTCTGTGGCGGCTTCTGCTGCTGTCCTTGCCCAACCTAGCAACAAAGTTAATACTACTCAAATGGACTATTCATCTAGTAATCAACCTCGTTTGATTGCTCCATCAACACGTGTTCCTGTTCCATCGCCTCTTGTTCCTGTTAGCCATGTTCCCACTCGTTCTTCAACAATATCAGCCTATGATGATCGAACAAGTAACTCTTGTCGACCTCAAGCTTCTATCCCGGTGCATAATTCTGCAGTTATTAATTACACTCATAATGAAGGTTTGTTTTTTCCTTATAAGCATAATTTTGTTTATTACGTAGTTTTATATGATAAAACAGAACTAAAGCGCTTACACCGTAGTTAATCTGGTCTCAATTTTGTTTCACTATGTAGTCATAAGTTTAAATGAGATCAATTTTTTTATGGGAGCTTAGTGGTCACATACAGTTTTGTGCAACAAAAAGATGAGTAAAATCATCGGTCCAAGCACCTTCAGCGTGTAATAGTAAACCGTAGGCCCTTAAAATTTGTTATGTCAAGCCCGTCTAAGAGCTAGTTACGTTTTGTTTCCTGAATAACGTAAACATTTCTTGTATACACAATTGGAAAGAGAGAATTTAACCAAGAAATATCAGTTGGTTTATATTGTCTCTAAGCTAATCTACATGGTATTCACTCATTATAGACGTATGACCTAACGCAAATATGCATTTGCACAAACAGTCCCACTCTATGTCAGAACTGCAAGAATTGAACAAGTTGAAAAACCGTGTAGTGGGAAATAACATTGATGACAATAGGAATCTATTCATGAGAAATATAGAGGGGAAGGAAAAAAATAAAGTTAGATGTTATAAAGTGAGGAATAACACTCAAGTAACCCAACTGTATCTGCTACCTTGACGTGGTGGTTGGGCTTGCCTATCATGATGATCTAATCGAGCTATATTAGCTGGGATGTATGCTCCTGTAAGTTCTACTATGCTATGCATGTTGATTGTAGAACGGTAAGGCTGAAGGCGAAGTTTCACTTTTGGCTCTAGTGTTGTGTGACAACAGATAAATGTTTCCGTCGGATAACTAGCATCTGCAGCGATGGTGCCTTCTCACAAGGAAGGAAGGGTTAGGCAATGTCGACCCTAAAAATGTCACACCTCACCTTACCTCAGGGATTTCCGTCTCCGTTGGTAAGGGCTGCCCAGTAGGGGCTTTTAAAAAGGGCGGAGCTAATACTCTAGGTGACGCAGGTTGGCAAAAGCCAATCGAGATTTCTGTATCCGTACTGAGGTTTGTCAGTCACCAGGCCATTAGCACTGATGTGACTCCCGAGATACGTGATGCGGTCTACAGACGACTGCCACACTACCTATCACTAGTTCCGGTGAAGTCGCAAGCCAATCCGGAAGCAACATTTTGCATTTCGAGTTGAAAAACCGCATCCTGAACATGCTTGCATTGTTGCTCAGAGTAGTCAGAAGACTGCCTTTTGTCAGCGTCTTCACCAAATAGAAGTATATCATCGGCATATTCTAAGTCAGCAAGTGATCTTCCTGGTATACAGTCGACTCCTGACAAAGTTAAACAAGAATGGAGAGAGTGGACATCCCTGACGGACACCAACGGAAGTAAAGAATTCCAATGACAGTTCGCCATAAGCTCTCACTCGACCAGTAGTTTTAGAGTAGGGAGCTTGTATAATGTTAATGTACTTCTTTGGTACACCTTTCAATGACAGACGCTGCCACAGAACCTCACGATTTACTGAGTCTAATGCCGGTTTTAGGTCCAGGAAGACAACTATTGTCGGACGTCTAAATGTGTCTGTGTTCCAGGACCTGTTGTAGTGTGAAGATGTGGTCTATACATCCACATCCAGGTCTGAAACCAGCCTGGTTTTCTCGAGTCTGCTCTTCACGAGCATTAGTTTGGCGTCTGAGTATAATCTAGGCTAACAATTTAGAAACTATATTAGTTAGACTGATTCCCCTGTGATTGTTACAGGAGGACTTTTTTACTTTCTCATATATTGAGACAATCAAGGATTGGGACCAGTCAGATGGGATTACGTCCAGTTTCCAGATTCCACTTAAGATTTCAGTCTATCTAGCTGCTAAAACTTGACCACCATAAAAATCTTAGGAGTCAATCTATCGGGCCCTGCTGCTCTCTCTCGCTTCAGACTTTCTATAGCCTTTTCAACTTCATAAATCATGGGCAGCCGAAGTTTGGCTGAGTGCCAATTGAACTGATCCCTAAAGTATTCTGCCCATCGATCCAATCTCCTCGATTTAGAATGAATAATAAGACCATCCTTTCCCGAAATAGTCTCATCTACACTCAGGTTCCTAATACCGGTTTCCTTGATGAGTCTGAATAGTTGCCTACTGTTGTCTATCGCCACTGCCTTTTCCATCTCTCTCGCTTTCACTACCCACCACTGTTCATTGTGACGGCTTTTTTTCAGCCTGCGCCTAAGCTGATTTCGTCTTCATCAAATTCAGAGCCAGGTGGGATGAGTTTACGAGCATCCATCAGTTCGGACGCTACTGAGATCCACGGCTTCATTCTAGCCTTCTGTTTCCACAACAGCACGGCATTTTGATGAGAGGCTTTTTGAATATTAGCTCTGCTCTTGAAATTCCTCAGTGGGCACCCTTACCGACGGAGACGGAAACCGAGAGGTAGGGTGAGGTGTGACATTTTAGGGTCGACCTTTTCTAACCCTTCCTTCCTTGTGAGAAGGCAGCATCGCTGCAGATGCTGGTTGTCCGAGGGAAACACCTTACTGCTGTCACACCCCTCTGCAGTCAGCAGTACGACTTCGCCCTCAGACCTTGGGTAGCTGCTTTTAGTCTCATCGTTCTCCAATCGACCTGCCTGGCATGGTAGAACCTTCAGAAACATATGTTCCAGCCAGTATAGCTCGGTTGTGTGGTCACGATAGGCAAGCCCGACCACCACGTCAAGGTATCGGCTTCGGTCGGGATGCTACATGCAAACAATTGAAAATTTTAAATGCAGTCGTAGATAGACAATGAACTCATGTCTGATGACAGTTATCAGAGATAGGATGTAATAGCAGTCTTGAACAAAAACTTGGTTGAAGTCGCAGCAACAAATGCTTAGCGATTATTCATATCACACCTTGTGATTTTCTTGTTATGCCCGTGTAGCTGAATCGGAGGTACATACTGTTTGACCCTTAAAATCTACTTCTTAATCATATTTCTACTTATACACTTTAAAACAGTCAAGGCGCTCTTAGTGTTAAGTTGCTTGACCATTGTTTCGTCATTATTTTCAATCTAGGTCGTGCGAATTGCAATCTCAATGTACCCACTGTAAACAGTACTTTGTCTACTTTGAATACAAGTTTGATTAGCGCTGCTTCTGGAATTAACAGTGCAGCCGCTGCTGGCAGTGGAACTCTACGGAAGTCTAATTGTGTGAAAGAAATCGAGCGAATACAACAACGACGTGAAGAGCGTCGTGCTGCTCAAAAAGCAGTTCGTGATCAAGTTGATTTAGATCCAACCAATCCTAGTTATGAGTTTTATATGATGATCCTGTAAGTATTGTTTATGTGTTTTATCCTACTGTTTACTTACAATATATTATCGTTTTGTTTTCGTATCATGACTATATCATACGTTGATATCAGTTAATTGAAGTATTGAGAGCGAAAAGGTACTGTTTATTAGTTTGATTGTAATTTTTATACTGTTGGGATAAAATTCTAATGTCCTTAAAAAGCTATTTGATAATGATTAAATGTTAAATCACTAACTCATTCATCAGTATTATGCCCTCGGTCCTCTATCTATACATGCATCTGTTTGTCTTCTATATTCACATGTACTACTACTGTTCCTTCCACTCGTCCTCATTTTCTACACTATTTAATATTTAGATATCTAAATAAAAAGATGGATTACGTGTGTGTGTATTCGCGCATCCATTTTTCAACGTTTAGTATGCATATACGGTATCTAGCATTCGCGAGAATTGGTCGGTTGATTCATTTGGCAAATGCTGGATATATATAAAAGCGTAATTTCATTGAGCACTTCATTTTCAGCGCTAATTTCCACTCTGTTTGTATTTATTCATCTGGCGTTTACTGATGACATAAGTAGATAGATTAAAATGATTCAAATGAAATCCTTAGTGAAAATCATACTGTTATATGCAACATACACTCACTCAATAAACGGAAAAGCGCTCAAAAATGTCAGATTTTGAATTCCTTTTTTGTACATTGAAAAAAAGAATAGTTAACCTCACATCAAGTAAATAACTATACTGAAAATGTTTTTAATTTTATATTTTTATATTTCAGTGAATATAGAAATACATTGGAATATAGACCTTTAACCAATACTGATTTAATAGAAGATCATCAAATATGTGTTTGTGTACGTAAACGTCCTATGAACAAAAAAGGTTTGTTTGATTGTTATATCTTTAACAAGTGATCGTTTCATCATCATTCATAATAAACTCATGTTCAATATTATTCGTACTGTGTATAACCTTACATACGTTTGTCTTTACAATTCATTATTTTGTTACTTGTTTTTAGTTATCACTTTCATTTTCTACAACCGAGAATACGGTTTGAAGCACAGTCATTATGATAGTACTGCAGTTTTATACTTGATCACATTTACAAATGTTTTATTAAATTACTTGAGTGCTGAAATATAGAACCTGTTTGTTCTTAGTTTATATAGGGTGCTTCTATGGGTATGTTTATATGTGTAGAAACATGACTGTCCTTATTGCTGTGCACGTGATATGATTTTTTGTCAAGAGTTACCTATAATTCCTCTATGGGCGCTCTAAAAAACAGTAAACGCTGGAAATGCTTTGGCAGTCAGCGTTGCTTGAAAACTAAGAAAATGTAGAAAAGTAGTGATGGTTTTATGAAGTCCGACTGAATTGTAACCAAGTTTGCTGCCAATTATAGTATCATCCCTCAATGTTTCTTAAACCTCAAGGTCTCCTATAATTTCATAAATGCCGGCTTTCGCTGTACATGAATTAACGTTCACAGTGGATCTCGCCTCATATTTCCCTCCTGTGAACTATTCAGATCTCAAGTATTGAGAAGTGTAGAATCCTAGAAATGAGTCTATATGTCAAGAGTTCTGTGTACTAGACACAATACTATTATTTCCAAACTAATTGCATTATTGATTGTAAAAAATAGTTTTCTCAATTTTCTATTGAAATTTATGAATTGAATAGAACTTGGTCGTCGTGAAATCGATGTGATCACAGTGCCAAATAAACAACATGTTCTTGTTCATGAACCGAAAACTAAAGTCGATCTAACAAAATATTTGGAAAATCAACAATTTCGTTTCGATTACGCGTTCGATGAAACGTGTGATAATGAGATGGTAAGTTTTTAATTCTTAGTATCATCAACCGGAATTATTAGTAATTGTCCTTAAACAGCTTTGTTCAAATTTCGTTAGACTAATCTATATGATGCTTTTACATAAAATAAAACAGGAACGTTCACTAGTGCTTTGTAAACTGAATGGTTGTTGAATAGTAGTATCTAATCTCATGCTCCTCTCATTCTTAAAGGCGGTTGAGTAGTGTCAAGTGGACGTGTCAGTCAGTCAGTCAGCAACAACGTAGAACTTGGTACGTACTTGTATCAGTTCAAGTTGCCTTACCACATTGGCACGGAGAAATGGAATCGTCTGGTCAAATCGCATTGAGCTAAAGGTTGTAGCAGTATTAGGGTTCATCGAAAGGATTAAGGATCGAATATATGACTCGAGAATGACTGTACTTGGATTTCCCATGCGTCTTTCGGTGGCGCAGCTTATGTCAATGGCGCGAGATTCTTAAGTCCTAGCTAAGGAAAAAACCTGTTGTCCTATTTGGTACAAGGTCTGAACGTTAAAAACTCCAACATGTAGTTCATGGTGAGGTTATAGGAGACTAGGAATAATATCTCTTGTACCTCGAATCATTAGCGTTAGCGGTGTTATTTAAGCTAATATTTTAGATATTTTATTAGTTAAACTGATTCCTCTGTGACTGTGACTAGAAGCCATTTTCACTTTCTACTAGACTGGGATGATTAGCAATTGCTACCAGTCAGGTGGGATTTTAATAACTGCAATTAAAATTAGGTATATTCAATTAATTGTTCGGATAATTAGTCTGGTATAGTTTGTGCAAGGTTAGACAGATTTTATTAAGTTGGTCTGTTCACATGTTGAATTTGTAGATAACTCAAAACATGTTCTATTGACTGATATCGTTTTTGCTTACGTATATAAAATGAAAACTTATGCACGAGCAAAAAATACTTTCTTAATCCAAGTTTTTAACTATTTTCATTTGCTCACATCATACAGGTGTATCGGTATACGGCTAAACCCTTAGTGGAATGTATATTCCAACGTGGTATGGCCACATGTTTTGCCTATGGTCAAACAGGATCTGGAAAGACGCATACAATGGGTGGTGAATTCCATGCTCGCGGTAAACAGGATTGTTCCAATGGAATTTACGCCTTAGCAGGTAAGTTTCAGCGTTTACTTACATCCACAAACGATTTGATCGAACGAAATAGATTTAGTGCTTGAGTTTCTCTCCATCTGCCTCTCATTTCTCAAAAAACACATAAGGTTGGTCCTTCTATATGATGTTTGTAGTAATTAGTTTCATGATAAGCTCTGTGCTTTCTATAAATGTGCGTGAGCACTTGTAATTAACATCCATAATTGTGAGGTAAAGCAAATTTAAGGTAGAAAACTTTCATTTCTATTCACATTTGTTTGAACACTGAGTAGGGACCAATGTCATGTACGTTAGGCCCTGTTAATCCTTGGTTTTGGGTAGTTTGAAACATTGTTTGCGGATTGTCAAGTCATTTTCATTAAATGGCCACACCTCAACTATGTCAATAATATTCGATCATCACCATAAGTTATTTGCATACATGCCATCAGTCAGTACTCAGTAGCCATTCACTTCTGGATACATCTTAGTCCTACAGTCGGCGAGTTGCCGCTAACAGTTCAATGATAACGTCCCTCATTGTGAAGTTTAATGTCGTGGAATGCAATTCACCAGGTTACATCAGTCCCCTTAAGTTTACAGTTACACCTTTTTGACTAGTGCTATCAAGAAACGTCGGTGGTGTATGTTTACCAGGTGTATCATAGAAAGTTTGAGCAGACTATCTGTGTCCGCATGGATTTATATGACACTCACAATTTGACATTCTTCATACAACATTTTTAATTGTAATACTGTATCTTTTCGGAAAGTTATCGGTATAGTATTGCAGTGCGACAGTTGGGACAACAACAATGTGTTCTACGTTCATCTAAGCTACTGGATAGATACTGGTTGGAAAATTAAAGCTTCTCAATCGAACTTGTACTCTAAACAGAACTCAGTCAGTTAGCAACATCGAAGAACTTGGTACGTACGTGCACCAGTTCAAGTTGACATACCATATTGACACAAAGATGCAATTGTCAATTCAAGTCCCATAATGCTAGAGGTTGTAGCAGTCTTAGCACTAATCAAAAAGATTAGGGATCGAACATATAATTCAAGAATTATATCCCAGTGATATAAATTTAAAAAGAGAAAGATAAGTGGGATGAGGAATTCAGAAGACAATGACCTGAGGAAAGACAAAGAATGTATGCATCTGAGTCATTGCAATCGATTTTGAGCCATTTCACACAAAGTCTCTAACCACTGGTCTCGCGGACCAAAACCAGTTGATCTACACACACGAACATGGCTCAGTGCAAATGTCAATGACTTCATGGGTTTGTGTCATGTTTTGGTTTGGCTGCCCTAGCTTTCTTCCATACTTCTATCCCTACATCAGACAACATGGATCATGGAGGTAGTTTGTGGTTGAGCAAACCACCCAGTTGATGGAAGTCCACTACTTAATCAACTGATTAGCCGCCCTTACCTGACATAGTACTCTTTTCCTTAACTCAGGAGCATTGCTTACTCGATAGTCCCATTATACTCGAGCATTGCTTCTAAGATACTATTAACCTACACATATCCTTTATTCTTGTTGGCCATGTTTCACAGCTGTATAGTAGGACGGAGTGAAGTTCTGCTCGGTAAACTCATCGTTCGGTTATCAGACGAATATCCTGTCTTTGTCATAAGTAACGCCAGTTGACAAAAAGCAGTCGGGCATTCTGTATCCGTCCCGATATTTCCTCAGACACCAGGTTATCAGTGCTGATGAGACTCCGAAGATGATTGGAGCGATCAAAACCAGCAAGGTCGCGGGGAGCATCAGTGTGGCTTTCAGATACAAGGAGCGTAAATCTTTATTTTAACATTGTGGAGCCAAATGAATGACTGTGCTTAGATTCCGCATTCGTGTTTCTGTGACGCAGCTTATGTCAATGGCGCGAGATTCTTAAGTCCTAGCTAAGGAAACCTGTTGTCCTATTTGGCACAAGGTCTGAACGTTAAAAACTCCAACATGTAGTTCATGGTGAGGTTTTAGGAGACTAGGAATAATATCTCTTGTATCTCGAATCATTAGCGTTAACGGTGTGAGTGGAATAAGGTTATACGAGAAGGGTTGACTATGAATAAAAGAGAGCTCCTAAGCGGTACAGGAGGGATTTGATCGTTAGTCATTTAATCTCGTGAACTGTTAGGGTTATAAGGGCGGATGTCACTTCTTTGTCTCTCACATCGTGGAAGGGTATTTCTTTTTGGATTACCTTTGGTCTTAGAGACATGGGAGCGTGACTGTAGAGCCCAAGGGATCACTGCTTGAGGCCGGTCACACACCATCTGTTTAGCGGTTAGCCCTTACCACTGGAAATAAAAATCCCTTTTGTTACGTTAGATGTGAACTTTTCAGGGTTGTTGTTTTCTTACACCTACTTTCCATCTTGTGAAGGCAGCATTGCTGCAGATGTTTCTTATCGGAGAGAGACACTTCACTGCTTTTACACCTCTCCACAATCAGCTATGCAACTTCTCCGTCAGACCTGGTGTTGCTATTTTTGGTATTATAGTTCCCCAATTGACCTTCCTGGCATGGTAGTAATTATAGAAACATATTGCTCGGTTGGATTATTACGATAATCAAACTTGACTACTTCTTCAAGGTAGCGGCTGCGGTCTGATATAAATAGAACGACAAACTGTTTGACTGGATTGTATCTTGACTTATTCACGCACAATTTATGCAAATTTATGCATTTTCCGCATATTTGCGTTCTTACTCCTTTTTTCGCAAACGTTGACAACAATTCTGAATGATTGTTTTTATCTGATTGCATTTTAACTTAGCCGCGGATGTTTTTGAAATGAATACAACTACATATAGAAATGAGAATCTTCGGATTGTTGCAACATTTTTCGAAATATACAGTGGGAAAGTATGTGCATCTTTATTATTATTATTATTACCATTATTTCTGATGATATGTATAAGTTACTCACTCCATGTTTTTATCATCATCATTTGTATTTTATGCGTACTTGTTTCTACAAGTTACCTTCAGAGCCTACATTTCAGGTGCCCTTCAGTAAATAAATGAGTATGTAAATATTTCTTGAAAGTGCTTTTCATTTAGCCAATAATAAACCCGTCCTTAATATTCTCAAACTTACTCTCTAATACTATATCGAGATAAATATTAAGCAATAATGAATTTTCTGAACGGTTCTACATGAACTTATTACAAATATCCTTGTTGTATAAAATGATTAAGTTTATAAACTGTTAGGTTCTTGTAAGCTTTAGTTTGATATAGAAACTTGTATGTTTTACCATTCTCAAATTATTAATAATTTACTACTTGTTGATCATTTAGTTCTCTTCCGCTTATGGTGCAGTTGTGCTCATGCTACGATTTCCAAAGTTCACTGATATTTGGTCAGAATTTTTCTTTAAATTGTTATATGAGTGGTTCATTAATTCGAGGTGTTTGATCCGAAGTTTTATACTTGCAGGGTCGTTCTCCATTCGGGCTTATCAAGAGAGCAAGTGTGGGAGACTACATTCTTAGCCAATAGACATATAGTGTTAATTTCGGCCATTATCTCATCTAGGGTTTGCCCGATAATATGTACTAGATAAAAATTCTGGGCTAAATCAATCAATACACAAACTAGACCAGTACAGCTGCTCTTTCCTGTCTTTCAGTCCCATCTTACGTGTCCTAAAACTAACTGAACAAGAAAAGTCTCACCCGACACATCTTATCGTTGTTTGGTGCCCATGTAACTCATCTGGTCTGTTAACGAAATTACTTCATAAAATCCGATGTTACCAATGTTACCGCGCTGTGCAGTGTGATTTCCCATCTGGCTTGGATTACTAGTATGATTATGATTATGAATGTGTGTATTCCTTTGTTTGTGACTCGCTCTTTCCAACCTTAACGATCTATGAATAAATATTATTGTATTGTTAATGGTAATGTACCTGTGTCAGAAGATATTCTACTACATCATATTATCATGCAGTTAGTTATTGTTAGTAGAATGAAATAAGCATAGTTAGGTTTTACACCATTTCACTTTATTGTCCCATGGGGGGTCATGAAGAATCAACAAAAAACAAGTGATTATTCATGTAGAAGAATAGAGAAAAAAGTATAAGACTACATGAGGATGGTAGATGCCATTTTAACATGGTGAACATTATTTTGCATGCGACTCTTATTTATGTTGAATAAGCATGTATGTGCCTGTTCATCAAAGCGGATATAGTTAACTGGTTATTTGAGTGAAGCTTTATGTTCTGAAATGTTTTACACCTACTATGTACGAAAAAATAAACTCAAATCCTATGAGCTTATTAAAATCATATAAAAACTACAAAAATATCTCTCAGTTCAAAAGTTTCGCCTTATATATGCAAGCCTATCCCACAAGAATTCACTACTATGTCTTAAGAATGTTCGAACGAAAAAGTTGATATGTAATAAGTGTTTGTGTGTACTGTGGCCAATTTTTCGTGTTACTTTTTACACTTGTGTTAATTTGTAACCCTAAATGTATTATTGACTATCAATGCCTTGCTAATAATATTCGTATATTTTTGTCTTATCATCAGTCCATAACGTAATAGTATCATTATCTGTTAATAAGAAATAAGTAGTCCGTGTCCACTGACCACTAAACCCTGAAAATCCTCAAATGTCAAGCCCTTCTACCTCATTTTCATGTTGTACTTTGCTTCTTTCACTCCGTGATTATTTCTAACTTCTTCAAGTGAGATTAACCATGGTGAACAATGTGATCGACCTGCTCTGACAACAGAACTACAGACCATAGACCTGCACATATTCCTTTCTAAGTTTGTAGGTTCATTGTAATAATACAATAGCTGCCAATTAATGTAAAGTTGATTGTAAATGATTCAGAAAGTTCGCTGAAAAATACTTGCATATTCAGCAGCGTTCATCGTGTTTCAGAAGAAAATCCTTGCTCCACAATGTCACGAATATCGCATAATTGTTGACTTTATCTACTGTGTATGTAGATCTTATATCAGTCGTAATTTGGTCATGTGATCAGAATCGTCAAACCAAATAACGTGATGCATTATTTAAAATTAGTTTTGTTTTCCTGTCAATTGATTGGAAATCAGATTGAAACCTCTTCTTAGAATATAAATGTCTGACAGTTCTACCATCTGATATTCATGATCTCCAAAAAATTTGGTTTTTAAATAATTTCATCTATAAGTTTTCATCTAAACGTTTAACTTAAAAAAACTAGATTCAGAGTTTTCCTTTTGTCTGTAAACTTAATCATAAATTGAAGTACTAATGAAAAGTTCTTTTAAAAAAATTATTGAACTATGACTGAGAATTTCCAGTTATTCTAACATCTAAATCGAATAATTGCTGTGTTTTTGGTTTGTCTTGTTTTTTCCCCTAACAAAATTTCATGACAGGTTTTTGATCTTTTGAATAAGAAAGCTAAACTTCGAGTTTTAGAAGATGCTAAAGGTCAAGTACAAATAGTTGGATTATGTGAAGAAGAAGTGAATTCAGTTGATTGCGTTTTAAAACTTTTACACCATGGTGCACATATTCGAACTAGCGGTCAAACATCAGCTAATCAACATTCTAGTCGTTCACATGCTGTCTTTCAAGTAAGTTTATTCAATAGTGCTTAGTCACTTTTTTCCTTTTCTCTTATTATATATATTATTTACTATCTTTATTATTGCTATTCAAGGATAAATATTATAGTTTGTGTATTATATTTGAAAGTTTGAGCTTATCTGAATTTGTCAAACGAATCAATGATTCATTGGTTTGTCTAATAAAACGCTTTTTTTGTCTGTTTATGGCTTGGTGTTACATTTCATCCAGCTACCTTTGCCGAATTAAATAAGAAGTAGTTAGAGTCTGATATGCTCGTCAATTGATATGCTTGAATTCTATTACGAGTTCGCCTTACTCGGTAAACGATAGCGAAGACAAATGATGCAGTGACTCGATAGGCTATTCTGATTCGATTGTCCCCGGCGGCCCTGCCAACAATATCAAAATGTCTTGATATGGCGTTAAAAGTGTATTCTACAAGCACCCAGAAAATATGAGATTGAAAGCACACAAATCGAGTATATTTATACATGATAGAAACGTCCTTGGGAGAGCCACAAAATTAGCGTACTAAAATACTACATCAACCGATAACAGTCAAGGATTTTCCGGGTGAGAAGTTTAATCTTAAGGTCAACTGATTAACCCATGCGCGGAAACACAAAATCCAAAATTAGAACTTTTATCAAGTGAGTTCTGGGGATCTAACGTCCCCAATAGAGAGTCTTACAGCATCCAATTAAATATATTATTCAGAGTGACAGGAACTGTATCAGTTGCTATCACTTCACCTAATTCGTTGTTGTAAGCGGAAAACAACGGAAACTGGAGTTTAACGTATGGCTGTTAATAGTTCGATGTATTTGTTTTCACACAATTATTGAATTGCAGTACCAGATTTCTGTAACATTATCTCAGTTTTTAGTCATTGTCTCTTCTCATTAGACTAAACCTGTGTTATCAATACAATGCAGATTCGTACATAGTTTTAGATTTAAACTTTCCCACCTTACATTTTAACTGTGCCTAAACAGAAAGTGATCACTATTTACAATTGAAATTGATTTGACGAACTGGTTAACGATATCATTGTTTCTAAAGTTATATATCTGTCACTTAAGGTCTGTTCTGATGATTTCTGCAACTGTGTGTACCCAAGACTAAAATATTATTTATCACCTTTCTGTCTCTGTAACTCCTTAAGGTAAGTAAGCATAGTCATAAGGTTATAATACCAGTCTATTCGCGTCATACATACTTAAATAGATGTTGACTTCTCTGATAGTCTGTCCAATTTATGTTATACTAACTCATACATTTTGGTCATTTAAATTTGTAGCCTTATACTGGTAATCAAAGTAATACATTGTGGATTCTATGGTTTTACTGACGTGATTGTGACGTGTATTACCTATGCTAATATGATGTGCAACTTGAACCAATGCTCATATGTGCCATGTTCTGTGGTACGTATGATTGATTAACTGACTAATTTAGTGGTCTTAAGGATCTTTCAATAGTGTACAAGTTTAAAATAATGTATTCGGTTGCAATCTGGATTGATTCAGTCAAATGTTCACATGTGCAAAAACCGGCACCTAAGATACTAGGTTCAGTTTACAGTAATTAATTGATTAAACCGGAAAGTTACAAGAAACTAACTGAATTTTTATGAAGATTTCAATAAGTTTTTCTCTTTTTTCAAAGTGTCGTGTGATTGTGTTCATTTTTCTCATACCTACCCTAAACATAGTTAATCTTAAAAGAAAGATCTTCGGGAAGAATTCATGGTAAATTTTCTCTTATCGATCTGGCTGGTAATGAACGTGGTGTGGATACAAGTAGTTCTGACCGACACACTCGAATGGAAGGCGCTGAAATTAACAAAAGTCTTTTAGCTTTAAAGGTTAGTTGTACACACATTTTGTATCCAATGTTTAAGATGTCATTAATATTCATATAGCATTCATCAATTTATGACGTTATCTAGCACCTGTCGGCAGTTCACAAGAAAACTGAATGTTTGGCAGCTAACATTATCGGCAGAGCATTAGTCGACGTATTTGTTTCTTACGTCACTTACATGAGTGTTTTATTACTGGACAAAGATGAATCTTTTCATCGATCTTATTTGGTCTTAGTTGTACCACAACAAAAAAAACTCGAAAACACTGAACGACCGTTTCGTTCTAGTAAATGACTTTTAGTGGCCCGCGATCAGACTTTTTATCAACAATTGAATGTAGTATGAAATAAATCTCCCGTTTAATTTCCGCATATTATTCTTAGGCGAACCCCGTTTGTGTGGCGGTGGTTATGAGAGACAAGTACGAATGAAGTCGGATGGATTTATATCAGGCAGTTGTTGGTAAAGTCGAGTGGATTAACTCGATTGTTGAAGCATCATGACTAAGTGTTTATAGTCAGACAAAATTACGATAGACAAGTGGTGAGCGAAGTATGCAATGCACTCACATTCATGTTATTATAGAACAGAAAGATAAAGAGATGTGTGAATGATAACTCCAGACGGAACGGTTTAATCAGTTTGTCCAAAAGCTAGTACAAGGCATGTGTGTTCGGCGTATCAGTATACATTCAGGACCTCTGCTGTGGGTATCGATGACGTCGGATCCAGGGCTTTCGACTCCGATTGCAAACATTTGGCGTCTATACCACCGAAGCGGATAACATCATTAGTCGATTACATGAACAAATCAGGACTAGATGAGAAATTATATCGTAAATAGAGTTGATCAACTCGGTATGAAAATTCCCGTTGCGTAATGTTTTTTTGTCACTACTAGTGTATGACACCTGGTGCACGTTTTTAGGAAGGTTCTATCTTACCGATCGGTTTGTAAACCTATACCCTATCATTCCCCTGGATCCGCTTTGGGGCTGTAGCCGGTCTCAGCCCGTAAAAAGGAGGAAGGCTAGGCATGGGGTTGGTGACCCTATCCCGTAGAAAACTAACTTGCTAAAACAACGCCAACTAGAAAAGATAATTTACAACATCTAAACTCTGCCCTGGGATTTAGGTCTTCATTCGGAAGAGTCATTATGTCTCATGATGAAAGCCGAGTTCCTTCGGAAGTTGTGATATCTGTAACCCTTCTGACAACCAGAACAACCATGGACCCGGGAGTAACTATGACTCCCTTAAGGTGGCTAGATGCCTCTTCATCTAATTGAAGGGATATGTTAGGTGACGTGCATAAATGAAGCATTTTGGGGTTGTGTGAGCGACTACCTCTTCGTGGTTCTCGCTAGAAACTTGACGGTGGATACATCGCTGCGGCTAAAGTCTCTAATGCGTTCGCTGTGGCTGCTCTGCTTAGCACTTGAGGAACAGCTAACGCGGATCAATGATCCATCCTATTGGCCGAATGGCCGAGACGGAATGGACGATATCTGTGGGACTAGGACTGAACGCCTTTAGGTCCGAATCCCAGCCCTACTGTGAAGTTACACTTTCGTCTTCCTTGTGTGTCTGGACACTATCCGTCTAGGCGCACAAGGTCTGGCTATTTGCCAGAGCGATGACCATAAAACGTGCACAGTTCTTGTTGTACGCGGGTTGACACCAATATCTTTTTTGTGGTTTGAGCGTGAGGATACTGAATCGTTTCTAGCAAACGACTGTAATTTAATCAAATCATGCAGTGGCGCGACGATCTGACTCGTGTCAGTGGGCGTACTTGTGTGTCCCTGATTTGGGAAAGACCGTGTGACTCCGCCTGCTTTCACTATCCGAAGATGGGAAGGCGTCCGCCGAACCTCGGTCGGTAGATGAGTTAACAATTCCTATCTGATGGTTCACCATTTCAGCAATGGACAGGTGGACTGGCCCCCCGAGTACCCTGCTATGATAGGTGCGCTCCTAACAGCTTGGGGTGGTCTGTATGGAAGCGTGATGCACACCATCCCAAAACCCAACCAAACCATGAACACTACAAATAAACAGATAATTGATTATGTACCGACCGTCCCCCGGGGCGATGGGCGTATCGGTACTACCGCGAGTCGCCCCAGCGCGGGGGTATTGACGACTCATCCAGTTATGTCCCTCCAACGCGCACACCTCTTCCATAAACAAACGGCGTCAATCCGCCGGTAGAGCATCAGTGCAAAGAGTGCCAAATCAGTAAGAAGCTTAAGCCAGCATATGCGGCACAAGCATATCTCTTCATATAATCAGTTGAAAGTGGGAAAGGTAATGGCTCAGCATGCACGTCGCTGGAGTCAGGAAGAGGATAATTACCTGCTAGCATCGGCGGATAGCCTGTGGAGTGACGCAGGCATCAGATCACGTAGTGGCGTTTATGATACACTGAGTGGTCAGATACATGGAAGATCGCGTGAGGTGATCAAGAGGCGCCTACTGAGCCTCAAATAGGCACCACCTGAAAACACTAACGATAGCGGTGGACGTGCCGTTGATCTGGGTGAGTCTATGGGAGACGTTTCGATGACTGAAGATTGGAGGAGAAGCCTCTTACGGGCCGTTATTTCAACTTGTGACAAGAGGCATGTGTTGTACAAACTTGCGAACGCGTTATATCGTGATCGGATAACCATTGAACAGGCCAGGGAACGATTAGAGCTTTATGTAACAAAATCGTTCCCCTATGCGAACAGGCGAGAAAGACGCAGGGTCGTGCCTAGGCGACCAGTCGAGACTAGTCTAAGTGCCGCCTTTCTGGGATTGGTGCGCATCAATCCTCTCAATACCCTCGCAATTGCTTTCCTAGACGCAGGCCGAGTCACACGGTCTTTCCCAAATCAGGGACACACAAGTACGCCCACTGACACGAGTCAGATCGTCGCGCCACTGCATGATTTGATTAAATTACAGTCGTTTGCTAGAAACGATTCAGTATCCTCACGCTCAAACCACAAAAAGATATTGGTGTCGACCCACGTGCAACAAGAACTGTGCACGTTTTATAGTCATCGCTCTGGCAAATAGCCAGACCAGTCCATGGCTCCCCGAAGCGGATTACCGAGCCACCAAAACAGTGCGCTAACCAGCAGCCATTCCAACCGTCTGGCCTCCAACTGCGTTGCACTGAACAATCGATCGGAGTCTTCAAGGCCCCACATATAGCTAAAGATCGAGTTTGTTAGTAGGTGTAGACTACCTTGTTTGGGTTACCAGTGGTTAGAGACTTTGAATGACATGGCTCAAAATCGATTGCAATGGCCCAGATGCATACATTCTTTGTCTTCTGAATTCCTTATCACATTTATCTCTCTCTTTTTAAATTTCTATCACTGGGATGTAATTCTCGAGTCATATGTTCGATCCCTAATCTTTTCGATTAGCGCTAAAACTGCTACAACCTCTAGCACTATGGGACTTGAATTGACAATTGCATCTTTGTGTCAATATGGTATGTCAACTTGAACTGATGGACGTACATACCGAGTTCCACATTATTATTGTCTGATTAAATGGCATTAACACCACAATCCACTTTGTATGCACATGCTTCAATAGTTATTGATCAGTTTCAATGCTTAACATTTTCATAGAAATAATACAAATAAAATACAGGTAAAACGTAACTAACAATCAATTTTCTTATTATGGTCAATGGACAACTTCGGGTTCTTTCGCATGTACGAGATATCGAATGTTTCTTCGCTTTGATTTCATTAATATTCGTAAATTTCTGACCAGGAAAGCAGTTGGAAATGCAGTGAATGAATATTGGGACAATAGTAGGACACATTTATTTAAGGCATTTTAATATTAATAGAAGCTTGATTTGAAATAGTGGAGAGAATTTATAGCTGAAGATGAAGACTTTAATGAGACTAGGTGTTTTCCTGATTCTCTATTTTCGTGTGTTTTGTTTTTCTATATTACTACAACAGTCAATAGTTTATATTTCGCTAGTAGTAAATGTATGCCGAGATGATTTCCATACCATACTTTTGAGTTGAGTATGTTATTTCATCGGTTCATTAACCAGTGTAATTTAATTCATATTTGTATAAACTGACGGTCAATTCATTTGTACCGATAACGTGAATCTTTACCATTAATAGTGAAAACTGGAATCGACCAGTCTCATTCGGCATATGTGCATGTTGTAAGGATTGCCTAGATATAGCCATTAGGTCACAAGCAATATGATGAGTAAAGATGCATGTCGGCTTTGTTTGTTTTCACGGGATTATTGATGTTACTAAACCCTATGTTCCTTTGTTTTGTTGTACCTCATTCACTTTGCTCCATCCAATGTTTCTTCTTGATAGATAAAATTACACAATTCAGTTGATCTAATCGTTAACTTTTCATACTACATGAAGCTAATCTTATGTAAATATCTCCTGTGTTGTCTTATGTGGTTTATGCATTTTTGAAACTATGAATTGATCAATGTTAGACCACCATTAGAAACCTGGAAGCACTGGACGGCTGTTTCATCCTGTCATGGGACTCCTCAGTGGTTTATGTATGCTACTTCCAATTATGAAGTCTAATAGCCCTAATTAATTAGTGTATACTTGCCACTTACTTGAGATGCATTCATTGCAAACAAAAATATTTCTAAATTCCATTCAATGCTTTTTTCTGCCGTTTATTTTGCTAGTGTACTTGTGATATCAATCAGACCGTTTCTTTTTCTCTTGATTGCTAACGGAGTTGTTGTAGTAACTTTGTCGGTGTATCTCTCTACTAACAATCAATAACTTTGATTGAACACTTCTACTTGATTTGCTTGACATATCCTTCTTATGTGGCTGAACGTGTGAATTTTAACGATTTCTTGCTTTCAATTACTATGTTATGCATTATATTTTACAAATATACATTGTTGAAAGTATAAAGAAATTTGGCAAGCTTAGAAGTTGGTTCAAATTTGACCAAAATGATCAGTAGTAGGTTCATGATAATATCAAACTCATGGAACAAACCTCTAAATGATCAGCTGAATAATAATAGGGCTGTATAATATGGATATTTTTATTAGTTTACAATGTAACGTTTTGTCACGCTCTACACATCATTAAAATGTGTGTAATGAAAATCTCAACTAACCATTTTGTATTGAAAAGTGTTTAATGTTTGTGGCTTCTTTTTTTTAATTTTCTCCATGTTTAGGAATGCATTCGTGCTCTTGGTCGGCGTGGTGCACATCTACCTTTTCGGGGTAGTAAATTAACTCAAGTACTACGTGATTCGTTTATTGGAGATCGTTCTAGAACATGCATGATTGCTATGATATCACCTGGTATTTCTAGCTGTGAACATACATTAAATACACTGCGTTATGCTGATAGGTAAGATTTCTCTCATTGATTTCTGTAAATATGCTAATTCTTCCATGAAAAATGACTTCAGTAATATTTTTCCATTTTGAACTTCCGTAATGAATAACATTGTTATCTAATTAGTTTGTAATGCTTCTTGTCTGTTATGACAAGAACAAAGTTGTTCCTTCTTAATTTTTTACTTCTGTACGGAGTATAAAGTTATCTTGGAAAGCTCCATTTTCTCTATTAACTGGTGGATTACTAACATTGAAGTGTTATTGTGTGAGAAATCCAATCTGTTCAAGTACCTATCTTTCGGGTCGTATTAAGCAACATTTTCAAATGTTGATAAATATAATTTACCGTATACTAACCGAAAGATGCTAATTGTTTATGAATGAAAGCCAGAAGAAGGGAATAAAAAAAATGAGTTCTCATTGTCTTTGACGAATTCCCAGTAACTCACATCTACATGGTTGTATAGTAGTGCTCGCGACACCTATATGCATCTGACCTACTGTATGAATGTTGGATGTTTGCCCACGCTGTAATACATACACAACCTACTATTCATCGATCGCCCCGTATAACCTGGTTGGTAATAATGAGTGACGATGCGTGATGAGGTAAAATTAGGAGCAATAAAAATCTAAATTTTCAAATAATAGACAAATATGATAATGCTCCCAAGAGGAAAAATGCTTCTTATCTTGGGTAATATTACTTGCTTTCGCCTGTTACCCCCAATGGAGCATAGGCCACCTACCAGTTTTCGCCAACCAACTCGGTCTTGGGCTTCCTTTTCCAATTCTGTCCAATTTTTGTTCATTCCTCTCATATCTTTCTGTATTTCTCGGCGTGATGTGTTCCTCGGCCTTCCTCTTTTCCTTTTGCCCTGAGGGTTCCAAGTGAGGGCTTGTCTTGTGACGCAGTTAGGTGCTTTTCGTAGTGTGTGTCCTATCCACTTCCACCGCTTCTTCCTGATTTACTCCTCCACTGGAATCAGGTTTGTTCTCTCCCATAGTAGGTTGTTGCTGATGGTGTCTGGCCAACGAATACGAAGTATTTTGCGTAGACAGCTGTTAATAAACACTTGTATCTTCTGGATGATGCCTTTCGTGGTTCTCCATGTTTCCGCTCCATACAGTAGAACTGTCTTCACATTTGTATTGAAAATCCTGATTTTGGTGTTGACTGATATTTGTTTGGAGTTCCAGATATTTTTCAACTGTAGAAATGCAGCCCTTGCTTTGCCGATCCGCGCCCTCACATCTGCATCGGATCCACCTTCATTGTCGATGATGCTGCTGTAAAGGTGTTAACGTCGTCCAAGGCATCTCCATCAAGAGTGATTTGGTTGATGCATGTTGTGTTGCATCGGAGAATTTCGCTTTTTCCTTCATGAATGTTGAGACCTAGTGCTGCAGAGGCTGCTGCTACACTGGTCGTCTTCTCTTGCATTTGTTGTTGCGTGTGCGATAGAAGAGCCAGGTCATCTGTGAAGTCCAGATCGTCCAGCTGTGTCCTAACTGTCCAGTTGATACCGTGCTTCCCTCCAGACGTCGACGTCTTCATAATCCAGTCGATCACCAGAAGAAAGAGAAAGGGTAAGGGTAGGCAACCTTGCCTGACATCGGTCTTCACCTCGAATGAGTCTGTTAGCTGTCCTCCGTGCACGATTTTGCAGTTGAGTCGATCATAAGAATTCCCTATGATTTTAACTGTCTCCTCAGGCACACCGTAGTGTCGAAGAATTGGGTAATATTGGCGCATGCAAATAATGAAGGACTCAGAGTATAGAGCGACGCCACATGTCCAACTCTTCATTACTTCCGAGGTACGCAGTGATCCTTACTAATGTTGTGATGCGCATTGTCCGAGTTTGATTACTGATAGGCAATTTACTGTGGATGATCCTAACGACTGTCTGTCTCGATTGGTGATGCTATCTGGTGTTTAAGTAGATCGAAAGAATAGTAAGATCAGCCAAACCAAGCCGTGGCACCAGTTCAATAAGTTACTGGCCATTTGGCTAAGCTATTTTGGTAGGTGTTAATTAACCTGGTTGAGGTCGGCGTGATTTTGTAACTAATGGTTAGAGGCTTCGAGTAATATGTAGTTGTGCAAGTACCACTCACTCTTAGCTCTCTTTAGAATCTGAGTTCCAGAACGTCCATAATATGACTTGTTTTTCTTTTTCTGATCCAATCTTTTCTACCACTATTGATACGGTTACCATGTCTGTTTCTCTATGATTTGTCCTACGGTAATTTCAAGTCATTGTGCTAATGTGTTTTGACTTAAATGATTACACATGTGTCAGGTTCTACTTTGCATATGAATAATTGAGCTCAGCTGAATTCTTGAATGAAAAAGACCGAGTGAGAAAAGAAGTTTATGACTTGATCAAAGGGTAATATACAATGTTTGTCCTTCCCCCAAACTAAAAACACTCAGTGATGTGTGTTCTGTGCCTCGGAAATCTAAGCCACTTGTTAACCTGTCTGTCACATGCAGTTATGATTTGGCTGAATTCTGATTGACCAAATCTCTCAATATATTCAGTTAACGACCATTAGGTTAGCCTTAATTTTACAGACTGCCAAACTCATTGATATACGAACTGCTTAACTCAACAAAATCTGAGAACTTTGTGTTAGATGAGTAGGATTCCTATTAATTAGTATGATAATTGTTATTATTATTATTATTATTATCACCTAACGTGTTGTATATATATGTATATATATTGTTCAAAACTACTTACTGTTTGTTTTTTCATCTTTATTACATCATTCGTTGCTTAATCATCATCAATATTCAATCATTATTTTGTGGATACTTACTTTTACACTTTAACTTTGTCGTTGTTCTGTGATCAACATGATTTCCCAAGTGGTGTTAATTTCATTTTTTTTCTGAATTTATAATTAATTATTTGAACAAAGAAAATTGGGCGTCTAATGTCCAGAATATATATATAAATGGTTTTTTTTTAAGTATCACATCTTAAATTTTCAATAATTTCAACGTTTCATTGTGCTGTTTAGAAGAAAGAAATCCAGACAAAATTATTGCTAGACAAAACGTTATATATAATGTGCACAATATTAATTTTCACAAATATCATATGTAACCAATTTTTTTTTTCCTAAAACAAAAATTTTTCCACCACATGTTATTTTTTTTTGTATTTTAGAGTAAAAGAACTTGGACCAGGAAATTTGTCATCAAGTACGATTTTGCTATTGTTGTTGAAAGATTCTTTTAAATTCCAAGTCGTGTAACATTACTGAATATAGCATATTTACCAAGTATCAATTTCATATACATAGTGTGGAACACACTAAGTATGAGGTTTTAAGTGACACTAACCTTAACGGAAGTGAGTACAATTCAAGGGATGATATTCAAATGTATCACATATATTGATTATAAGTTGTCTTGATTTAAATAGTGATCATTTTTGGAGTAATTTACTACTTACTATTATTAGGCTGACTAATTGTAACCTTTAGATGACTTTTTCATTTAGGCTTATTCTCTTTGTAGGTCAATCAACACTTGTGCTTGTGTATTGCATCATTCATTTGCATACATCATCTAATTATTTATTGTTCAGGCTTAAAATCTGATATAAACGATTCAAATGTCTAGTTGATCAGGTACAACAGCTCCTTAATCCACGGAATTCAATGTTTCCAGAGTATCTCTACTTATGCATACAACACATAATTGTTTGTTTACAATTAAACAGAAATTTTTAAAAACTGCTCTACTCATAAACAACTTTTCATTTCAGTTTGTTACACTATATTTTTTTTTCTTTCAATTAACTGAATTATTCTTTCAGGTGACAGTAATAATGATCTCCCGGCACCTGTTAATACGACGAACCAACCACAATTGTCAGCTCGTAGTTCAGTTTATGCTGCTGCTAGCGGTGCAGTAATTCCTCAAGCCAACTTTCGTAACCTTGCAAATACTAATATAGGTGAGTTTGTTTATTATTTACTGAAGATATTATCCTTTTATCTCTTTATAAAAAAAAATTATTATTATAGGAACAAATATGACTGCGTTATCAAAGAATTACTATCTTCAATCCAAAAATAATGAATACAACAGTAATGTCAGCTGTCAAAATGATACATTGACAAATAATCATACCAGTGTCATTGTTGCCGATGACGGTGATTTAGCTATACTTCGATCAGCTAATGTAAGTTTGTGTTCATTAGTAGTAGTTGCCTTATTCATTTTGCCAACTGTAAAGTTTTTTGTATTTATTATGTTAGCGTTTTTCTAGAAAGTTAGATTTCCGCGGTGTCGGATCACTAACCCCTATGCCCAACCCTCCTTTATCCGGGCTTGGTTCCGACAGTAACCTCAGAGGGGGGTTCCAGGTGGAGTTATGATATCGCGTCTATTTTCATATAACATGTGAAATAACGATCACATCAGCTGTTTTGCCTGATTATTTATTGTTCAGCAATTCTCTGCAGTTTCTGATCTAAACTTCAGTGGTGAAGCTTTATTATATCTTTTGGAAATAATTCTGATTTGTTTGTTGATGCTTCATGTAAATTTTCCGATAAAAAAAGCGAATCATTGGACGACAACTTTGCTAAAGTCTTTTCATACATAAGCCTAAATGTGTCACAATATTACATACATTTTATTTACTACAACCAGATATGTAATATTCAGTTAGGCTTGCTTACGCCTCTTGAAACACGGTCCATCAATCAAGAGTTTCCAACCAACCCTTTGCAGGTCTTTCCTTTCCCAACTGCTATTCATTCCTTTGATGTCTGCCTCCGATTCCCGACGAAATGTGTTTTTCGGTCTACCTCTTTACCTTTCGCCTTGAGGATTCCTATTCGGAGCTTGTTTTGTAATGCGGCGGTTTGATGATTTCTGCAGTGTCTGTTCTATCCACCAGTGTTTTTTCTTGATTTTCATCTGGAATCTGGTATGCTCACGGCCGCAGTAGGTTGTTGCCGATGGTTTCTGACCAAGTGACTCACAGTATCTTGTGTAGACAATCGTTTATAAATCCCAGTATCTTTTAGATAGTGGTTTCGTTCTCGAAGTTGTAACTCCATACGACAGAACTGTCTCGACGTTGGTATTGAAAATTGTAACTTCAGTGATAGTTGTCAGTTGTTTGAGCTGTTGATGTTCTTCAGTTCGAATATTGCCCTCGTTTTGCCAATCTACCCCGAGTCCGAAGGTCACTGCGGGTCTCGATCCCGAATAAGAATTAGGGAGAGTTAGTATAGTAACCTCACCTTGTTGATAAGAACCTAGCGAAACGATTCTAATGAGGCAGTTTTGTTTTATCAAACCATCGAAAATAAAGTAGTTAGTTAATTCCATATTGTGCACCAGCATGATAAAATTTTCTTAGTTGAATTTGTGTTTATTTCATAATGCTTAATCTTATAATACCTACAAGTGATCCTCGTAAATGGCAAATACATATTTGCAGGTGTCGTTAACAGTTGATTTTGTTCTTTTTATAATAGGAAGGTGAAATGTCTGAGGAAGTTCTTCATTTTCATGAAGTCATCGATCAAATTGAACGTATGGAAGAAGAAATTTGTGATGATCACAAAACTGTTTGTCATGTAAGCACTCTTGATTTGATTTTGTTCTTTACAGCTCACACGACTTTTGTCTAAAGAGATTTTATTGACAAGTATGCACTGATATAAGGATTTATAAATTTAAATGATTCCATGGAATCCACATGAAGCTCTGTCTAATCTGATAACATGCGACTGGACAATTATCAATAAGGTATTTCATTTGTGTTGAATGAGTGAGGTGAGCTGTGCTTCTACGAGAAGCATCATTTCCGATTGTCTAACATCAGTCCTGTGTGTGCCATATTGAATCACATGGTACTCAACCAGTGTGTGTGTAAATGAAGCATGTGACGATTTTAGGAAAATGTGATAAGGCAATACATTCGGACTAATTAAGTCTGATGTTTTTCACTTCATATCTTGAGTTATATCTGCTATGAAATGTACAACTTCTTAACACTATACACAGATATTAGTTAATTCCAAACTATATTTCATTTCAAACTTTTCCCCCTCATTTCATTAACACATGGCTCTTATCATATTAGAAGGTGGTTAGACATCTGAGCTTCCGAAATCCATCGTAATACTTCGTTCAGTACTCAACATGGCTCGTAAGACTTTCGACGTAGTCAACCGATTCGCTTCTAATCAATACATTCGGCTTTGACTTAGACCGGTCATAACAGTTTATACAACGAAAGAGAAACAGTTCTCAAACATGCTTGCATTTTTGGTCAAGTCAATCAACAGATTATATTTTCAGAGCACCTTCACCATGTAGGACTCTGTCATTTACACATTCCAAATCAATAAGTCAGTTCCCTCGGAGAAGGGATTAATTCTATTGTGCACTACATATGGTTAGCAATTCTGGTGACAGTTCACCATAGGCTCTAAACCAATAGCGTTCGAATAAAGAGTCTTCACAGGTTGACGTATTTCTTCAGTACAACTTTCAATAGCAAATATTTACAAAATCAAATGATGCTTTGAAATTGTCTTGTCTGAATGTAGTGGATAAATGAAAATCCCGTGAAACGAAATTTCGAATATTACGATTTTTTGCAATATACACTTGAAATAATCACGTTTTCCGAAGTGCAGTTTTCAATTCTCTATGGATCGTCGTAACTGTTATTTAAGAGTTTAGTGCACATCTATGGTAAAAAAAATACTTCTGTGTAATAATAAGACAACATTTATGATATCTTAGTTGGGAAAACATGAAAAGAAATTGTCATCAGAAACCTTGACAGCTGAGGTTACATGTTTCTCTGTCTATTATTTTCTGTGGTACCAGGTATTTCAATGTCATGTCAGTCTACGACAAGGTGGAACTCGTTAAGTTCTTACACCAGTTCAAGTTGCCATACCACACTGGCACAGAAATGCAATTGTCAATTCAAGTCCCATAATGCTAGAGGTTGTAGCAGTCTTAGCACTAATCAAAAAGATTAGGGATCGAACATATAATTCAAGAATTATATCCCAGTGATATAAATTTAAAAAGAGAAAGATAAATGTGATGAGGAATTCAGAAGACAATGACCTGAGAGAATACAAAGATTGTATGCATCTGGGCGATTGCAATCGATTTTGAGCCATGTCATTCAAAGTCTTTAACCAGTGGTTATCCAAAGAAGGTAGTCTACACCCACGAACATGGCTCAGTGCAAATGTCAATGACTTCATGTATTTGTGTCGTGTTTTGGTTTGGCCTCCCCTGGTTTTCTTCCAGACTCCCGCACCTACATCAGACAACATGGATCATGGAGGTAGTTTGTGGTTTAACATACACAGCACATGTCCCAACCACCCTAGCTGATGGAGGTTCACTACTTCATCAACTGATTAACCCCTCTTACTTAACATAGTACTCTTTTCCTTAACTCAGGAGTATTGCTTACTCGATAGTCCCATTATACACGAGCAATGCTTCTACGAAACTTAGAACCGAATCCTAGTAACCTACAAATATCTTTTATTCTTGTTGGCCATGTTTCACAGCTGTATAGTAGGACGGAGCAAAGTCCTGTTCCGTAAACTCATCGTTCGGTTATCAGATGAATATCCTGTCTGTCATAAGTGACGTCAGTTGACAAAAGGCTGTCGGGCCTTCCGTATCCGTGTCGATATTTCATCAGACAGCAGGTTATCAGTGCTGCTGAGACTCCCAAAATGAGTGTAGTGATCAAAACCAGCGACGTCACGGGATCACACTAACTAATGATCAAATGTAGTATATATTAGCTGAAAGACCATAAGTTTGATTGAACCCCACATATATATTTGATAATTCGTCATAACTTTCCGCATTTTCAAGTAATTTTATGTTGAATCCCTACAGTTTATTTAAGCTGACTGAAGCATTTTCTAACACAAAAACATTTTTTATCTTGTTCTTTTAGTCTATGAGTGATTGGACTAAAGAGCATTATTCTTTATACAGAATATCAAATCAAGTGGAGTTCGATGTTGAAAGTTAGTTTATGTGTTTTTTTTAAATTTTTGTATTCTGATTGCATTAATCTAATTTTCTTGTTCACACAACTTTTTTTTTCGCTACTGTGATTTGGTTCAATAAAATACGCGAACGAAGTTCCATCATCTAAACTTTATTTTACAACCTTTAGGAAACATCAGTGTTTAGATAGTACAGTACGTGTTTGTAAATATACTTGCTGAAATTCTAGTTTCTATTAATAGAAATAGCCATGAAAATCTTTGATTTTAAGCTGCTTTGTCGTTTCATGTTAAATATGCTCCATATCATACCACCTCAGTCTTCGCTTTACTGTCTTGTAATTTACGGACAAATAAATTTCCTAATAGTTTAAGTCTGATAGAAACGGTAATCTAATGTTTGCTTAGTTCCTCCTAATTGAATGTTTCTAAGTTAATATTAAATCTCTAAACCCATAAACAGGTGTATATCTATCCGATTCACTACAATGACACTATGGTAGTAAGGTGAATGCATCAGGTTATGAACAATAATAATAATAATACGACGACCGTACCTGCTACTTTATTGTGGTGGTCAGGCTTGCCCATCATGATGACCCAACCGAGTCATGTTGGCGGGAACATACGTTCCTGTAGGTTCTAACATGCCAGGTAGGTTGATTGGAGAATGATGAGACTAAAAGCAGCTGCTCAAGGTCTGAGGGCGAAGTCGTGCTGCTGACCGCAGAGGGGTGTGACAGTAAGAAGGTGGTTCCCTCAAACAACCATCATGTGCAGCGATGCTGCCTTCTCACAAGGAAGGAAGGGTTAGAAAAGGTCGACCTTAGAAATGTCACACCTCACCTTACCTCACAGATTCTCGTCTCCAGTAGTAAGGCCATTTGAAGAACGTCCCATAAAAAAGTCGTGTGTGGCCGGCCTCAAGCAGTTGTCTCTTGGGCTCTAGAAGCCCTGACACCGCTTCCCGGGTCCTCCCTGGCGTAGCTATAGCATTGATCCCCAGGGCAGAACTAGCTCTCCTAGGCTGGATCCTAGTAGAGTGTCGCTTGTGCGCTGTCGAGCTAAAGGGAACAGTAAGGACTCGGAACGATAGGGACAGTCGCTGTAGGTAGACTCAGCGAAAAGGAAAGACACCTGGGTGAATCTTATGGTGTCGCGGCTAATAGAACAGATAATGGCGACCGTCTGTTGCAACTGTGCTCAGATAACCGCCTATTTGTAGCAAACTAACTTTAGGCATAAGGAAAGACATCTTTTGAACTGGCGACCCCCGAAGTTGTCACAATGCTGAACCCAACTGGACCACATCACCACCAGCCACCGATGGAGGGGTTCGATAGAGGACTGTCGCTCATTCTGGGTCACATATTTAGATTCAGATCATGCTCTAGTTCGAGCACGTATTTGTTTACGTCTTGCGGGACGTAGGAAAGACACCGCAAACAAACCTTTTATGGTTCTACTTAATGACAGCACAGCTAAAAATATATTTCAGGAACAACTAGAAAAACAGTTAGGCAACCATGTAAGCGAATCCCATCCGGAGGCAGGTTGGAATGATATCAAAAAGGCTGTGGAAACAGAAATGATATCTGTTAGTAGGGTAATTTGTAAGGCTAGGAAGAAGCCATAAAATTCAGTAGCATTTACGGAACTGATAGACGCTCGTAAACTCATTGCACCTGGATCTGAACATGACGAAGAGCGAATTTAACCTAGGCGCAGGCTGATAAAACGCCGACGCAGCGATCGCGAACAGTAGTGGGTAGCGAAGACAGGAGCGTTAGAAAAGGCAGTGGCTATAGGTAACAGTAGAAAACTGTTCTGCCTTATCAATGAAACTGGTACTAGGAATCCAACAGTTAGCGAAACTATTTTAGAAAAAGATAGTCTTATTATTTCAGGGATCAGTTCAACTGGCCTTCAGCCACACTTGGGTTGCCTACGACCTGTATGGCAAATCGATGTAAGTTGTCCGACTTTTATGAAGTTGAGAAAGCTATAGGAAATATGAAACGATACAATCTGGGAACTAGGCGTAATCCCATCCGACTGGTCTAAATCGCTGATTGTCACAATTTACAAGAAAGGAAAAAAGTCCTGACTACATTTCCTTAAATATTGGCCTCAATAATATTTCGACGCTTAACGAAAGCTCGTGAAGAGCGGACTAGAGAAAGCCAGGCTGGTTTCAGGCCTGGATGTGGCTGTATTGACCAAACATTCACACTGCGTCAGGTGCTAGAACACAGACGCACATTTAGACGTCCGACAATAGTTGTCTTCCGGGATCTTAAGGCGGCATTTGACTCTGTTGATTGTGAGGTTCTGTGGCAGTGTCTATCATTGAAAGCTGTACCAAAGAAGTACATTAACCTTATGCAGGCTCTCTACTCGAACACTTCAGGTCGAGTGAGAGCCTATGGCGAACTGTTAGTGGAATTCTTTACTTCAAGTGGTGTCCGTCAGGGCCATCCACTCTCCCCATTCTTGTTAAACTTTGTTGTAGATAGGCTTTTCGAGTAAACGTTCTCAACGTCTGACTTTTCAGGAGTGGACCCTATACCAGGAGACAGGCTTGCTGACTTAGAGTATACTTATGTCATAGTTCTATTCGGTGAAGAGGCTGACAAAATGCACAGTCTTCTGACTACTCTAAGCAACAATGCAAGCATGTTCGGGATGTGGTTTTGCCCCTCAAAATGCAAAATTTTGCTTGAAGATTGGGTCGCATCGGCCCGTGAACTAGTGATATTGGAGTTTAAGTAATCAAGCGTGTCGACCGCACCATTTATATTGGGAGTCTCATCAGTCTTGATGGCCTGGCGAAATCTCAGCACGGATACAGAAATCTCGACTTACTTTGCCAACCTGCGTCACTTATGGCGTTGGCGGGATATCTGTTTGCTGACTAAGAGACGAGTGTACTGCGCTGCAGTTCGCTCTGTCCTACTGTACGGATGCAAAACATGGCTGATGAGAAGAGAGTACATTCGTAGGTTATTAGTATTTGATTATAGATGTCTTCGAAAAATTGCTCGTATATCTTGTGGCCGTCAAGTAAACAACGCTATAGTTAGGAAACGAGTACTAGGTAGGGATGGCAGATCAGTAGTTGAAGTCTTGAAACTCCATCAGTTGAGGTAACCACCGACTGCCTCGACGAGCTATGTTTTGTGGTGTAAGAGTAGGTTGGAAGAAAGCTAGGGGCGGCCAGACCAAAACATGGCAGAAATCCATGGATTCATTGACAAGTGGACTGAGTCATGTCTGTAGATCTAGGTGAAAGTCACCGATGGTTAGAGACCTAGAATGACATGGCTCAAAATCATTTGCAATGGTGCAAGTGCATCTATTCTTTGTGTTCTATGAAATTCTAACCTTCTGAATTCCTCATCATATCAATCTTTTTCTAAATTTATTTCACTGATTTATACACCTTTGAATAATTTCTGAATCCTTATGTTCTGCGTTACCGCTATGACTTCTACTCTCTCTGCCACTATGGGATATGAACTGACACGGGCGTCTCTGTGCTAATGTTGAATGGCAACCTGAACTGATGTACGTAATACATACGAAGTTCTACGTTGTGACTTACTGACTGACTGCTTGTTATAAACTGATTATTATTATTATTATTATTATTCATATCTGTCTGTGCCTTAGTATTTATTGACCATTTTGTTTTTGGTTTAAATTTATGTTATATTGTAAAACTTGATAGTAGTCGGCCTCCGTGTTTACTGTTTTTTCATTTAATAGAATATAGTGCTCGTTTAGAATATCTTCTTGGCGAACAAATAAAAATTTTATCCTCTTTAAAAGGTAAGTAGATAATATTGATATTTGTTCATGAATATTATGATTATTTTTACCAATGCAAATGTCGTTGAATAAATGCAAAAAAAATGGTATCTCTGAACATAAGCAATAGTGTAGTATGCTCGTTAAAGTTGTCTTTTAAGAGTTGGATGATTTTGTTAATATTATTACGGTTGGCACTGGTGATGCTCTTAGACGATAGTAACGACTTCTGGTAGAATGGTTGAGTGAAGATGATTTCTGTGTGTTACAATAATACTTGTGCCCCCGGAATCATGCTACTATTAGAGTGGACACTCAATCAACAGGTGGTTATAATCAAACTGAACTCTTGTTAAACCAGATACACGATGATTCAAGACTAAACATAGGGAACCAGAGGATGCATATAGACTAACTAGACAATACCATATTCAATTCATTGAGTCCATAATATAAACTTTGAATGGGGAGAAAATGACATCATACCCTTCATTAGCTTCATAGTCGTATAAGTTGTTACTAAATATATTCTACTGTCTTTCAATAAATTTTTATGAACAAATTAGACATCTAATCCAATGTTTTGAAAATCCCACTGGTGTATTGTGTTCCGTCGAGTAGAGCTGCTGCTGCTTTTCATGATTATAGCATTCGCTTTTCAATCAATGAGAACTCATATGGTTGAAATCTAACAATTACACATACTAATGTTTAAGAAACCAGTCAGAGTAATACATATAGATCGCCATAAACAAATGAAATACAACTCATATTAAAATGTGAAAATGCCATAGTCTAGAGATGAATGAAAATACCATTTTTTCTTAAATAACACTTATATCTCTTTAAATATAAAATGTTTGTTATGAAGTATAGAATGTCATCTACTCTATGGATTAACTAGCAGTTACAATTTCATACATGTCAAATAAAAGAAATAACATTGAAGGAACTGAATTTTCAATCTATTATTCAAATCCATCCACGCATTAATAAATAATTTTTTTTTCACACTTTCCGCCTTCTCATTAGTGAAAAACGTTTTTGACACAATTCGTAAAATTGTGTAGGAGTCAGCTTTCTTCACAATCGTTAAGTTTAGAAGATTCTAGTTTGAATGCGATTGCCTACAGACAGAGTTAATTGCTAAATCTTACACAATCGGGCTAAAAGTAAATGTACACACAGACATATTGATTGAACATATATATTTTAGAAACACTTAGTAAGCTTATCATTATGATCATTCCGTCAAAATTTGTCGTCACGGTTTGATAAGAGTATAAACAATAATCATTTTAATGTTAGTTCGATGCTTGTGTTTTCAGAAACAAAACCTAAAAAATTATTTCTTGATCGTTTTTTTTTAAGGATTTGCGTTAAGGTTTTCTGATAAACAGTTAGTTTGTGATCTTTATTTACCAAAATTTGTTTTTTACAGACAAAGTGACATTATGGCGCCGTGATTTACGACAAGAAGAAGAGTTGAGCACTAAATTACAACGAAATCATCAATTATAGTTTCCACATTATCTATCATACATATATATTTCAATTGAGAAATTTTTAATAACATTGAAAAATGTATGCTGAATGAAAATCAGTTCTCTTGTGTGTATATTTCATCATGTGTATGTATGTGAAAATGTGGTTATTCCCTATGTTGGTGTGTATTCTTCCTATTCTTTTACTTACTTACACACTAAAATAATAATAATAATAATAATAATAATAATAATACACCAAATAGGCATAATCACATTTTTCACCATTTAATTTCACTGTAACAATGAACTATTATTATTATTATTATTAGCTCACTGAATTCTTCTAATGTGTTGATTTATTTCTCACACAGAATAAGGTGTATATACCTATGGAAAATGTAATGTATTGACTTTTATTTTTAATTGCCTCTCTATTCATTTATCTAACTATTTTTGATGTTGAAAGGCAATTGTGTAATTTAACAATGTTGGTGAGATTACCAAAATGTTATAACAACAACAACAACAAAACACAGTCAATGAGTTTGTTTTGTCAACTACTTCTTCATTTATGGATTCATTGTTATAACAAATACATCCTTTGGGGTTGCAAGTATTACTTATTTAGTATTTGTTTATCTCTCTCTCACTATATTAATAAGTTGCTTAGTTGTGGTGTTTGTGAGTGTATCCATCGTCATTTGTCGGACCCTACAGTCGTTCTTCATTGTAGGGTTGAGTAATGAATCTCACATTTTACTGTAATAATTGAAAACGAATAGTTAAGTCAGAGTCAAGCATTGTATGAAGCCTTTTAGTAGTAATTATCAACTTAAAACCTGACATTTGTGCATCGATACAGGCTTCTATACCACAGCATAACGAGATGAAACTATTTCAAGACAGAGCACAGAGTTATAGGCGTGGCAACAGTATCATTAATAGTGGAAAACATTTGATGCAGAAGAATACAATGTCTAGGCAGATATCGGGATTCGGTTTCGAATGGGCGATAAAATGGTGAATACATTTGCGCTACTGTAAACAATATACGGACCAATCCCATTTAAACTGTTGGCAATGTCGACTAAATGGACGGAATTCAGCTGTGCTCGGCATCTTCATTGAACCTCTTCTACACCAGATGAAATCACCTTCAGTGAGTGAGTAGACGTAATACTTGTTTCAACCAACAGTCGACTTTCAATTTCTCTTAGCATTATTTACCTAACTATAGCATTGTTCATTCAATGTTATGGTACATAGTAAAACAATTTAAGTTATTTCCAAGCGTTTAGTGGATAGTCTTTATGGTCGCAAATGTTTGATCGGATCATTTTAACTTTGGACGTGCTTCTTGATAATGATTTTTTAAATTCGATAAATGTATCTTGCCTAGTAATCAGCTACCGATGTGCATTATGGACGAATTATTTTAATGGTTTCATTAGTTTTTGTAAATGATTACTCAGTAGGTAAGTTATGCCATTTGTTTTCTGTCAGTGGGTTCATGATGTATATCAAAATATCATTAGGTTTTTTACTGCTCAACACGGTCGAGTATATGTACCCACTACAATAAGTTCAGTGAATTTAATTTTGAAACCAATCAATTACGTTCGAGCGTAGTTCTGTTTTTAGGTGCGCGTTAGTTTACTTCATACCGTAAGTTAAACTATTCTAGCCAACCAAGTTATAAGTGAATTTAGAACTGTCTTGATAAGATATTTCTTTGATGAGGAAGTTCATGAGGTCGCACGTGTTTCTATATGGTCATTTTAACTAACACTAAAAGTGGCAGTGAAGTACATTATCTAATTACAGGTCAGTCAGCAACAACGTAGAACTTGTTACGTACGTACACCATTTCAAGTTGACACACCACATTGGCACAGTGATGCAATTGTCAATTCAAGTCTCATAGTGCTAGAGGTTGTAGCAGTTTTAGCGCTAATCGAAAAGATTAGGGATCAAACATGACTCGAGAATGATATCCCAGTGAGAGGAATTCGGAAAGGTAAAGTGTTAGGGAATTCAGAACGACCTGAGAGAAGACAAAGGATGGATGCACCTGGGCCAACGCAATCTATCTTGAGCCATGTCATTCAGAGTCTTTAACCACTGGTTACCCAAACAAGATAGTCTACACCCTACCATGGCTCAGTGCAGTTGTCAATGACTTCATGGATTTGTGTCATGTTTTGGTTTATCCTCCCCTAGTTTTCTTCCAGACTCCTACACTTATATCAGAACATGGGTCGTGGAGGTAGTTTGTGGTTGAGCTAACACAACACGCTCATCTGCTTCACTTGCTACCACTAGTTCAGAAGGGGAGAACCGTATCCCGAACATGCTTGCATTGTTGCCTAGGATTGTCGGAAGACGGCATTTCGTCAGCGTCTTCACATAAAACTATGTCATCGGAATTTCCCAAGTCTACACACGAATCTAGTAGCAAAAGTTCAACTCCCGAAATGTTAGATGATGTAAGTGTCAAATCTAAACGCATGTCAATGATAAAGTTGAACAAGAACGGAGAAAATGAACAGCCCTGACGAGCACCACTTGAAGTAATCAGTCCTGATAACAATACGCCTTTAGCTCTCAATTGACCAGTGGTGTTCAAATAGAGAATTTGTACAAGGTTAGTATACTTCTTTGATACACCTTTTAATGACGAATACCGCCATGGAACCTCACTATCAACGGAGTCGAACGCCACAATTCGAGAAAAAATTACTTGCTAAGCATGGATTTCGGGGCGATTATCATGCACAGCAAACTTGCTTGTAGCATGAGATTGGCGAAGTCTTGAGTTAATTGAAAATCTGTGGAGCTGTCGGTGACGTTAGATCCTCAGAATTCCATAAACGGCTGAAACTACACGTACAATTAAAAGACTACAAAAATAGATTCTCTCAAGATTATTGTAATTTACAAATAAAATTCCCATAAATGTATAGGATAAATAAAAACTACAAAAAGAATGGACAGTAGGAAGTTAATGTAGTTTTCTAAAATTGCGAATGTTGGTTCAATGCAAGCCGAAGTAAGTCATTTTCATGTCTCATTTGTGTAACAATACTACGGAACTCTTCACACATTTGATTAAGTTTCCACTCCAGTTTCGTAAATTTGAATAATAACTCATTATGAGACCAGTTCATTTCAGACATCATAGATCGGAGTCGAACATTGAAATATTGATCTAACCACTCATTTGTCACATTTAATGAGTTTGTATTTAAATTATCGTTGACATCATGATAATCTGATGACTTTAATTGTTGACTTCTATTTAGATTAATATCTGGTTTTAATGACACAGTTTTCTCCACATTATCGATATTCACTTCTGACGAACCTGATTTTATTGAACTTTGGTCAGACGGTGGAAACACACTGGAATTCGAATGCGCTGAAAGGTCTGGTATAGAAAACTCACGAAACAATGATGCCCATGTATCAGGCTGATATTTAGATATGACATTATTAACTTCATGAAGTGGTTGTCGTGATGAACTCAGTGGTGTGTCTGTCACAATGCTCTGTACAGATGTTAACTTTGTATGAGACTTCGCATCAAAGTTCTCATTCGGTAAAGTAGAAAGGCAATTTAATTCTGGGGAACTAAATCTAGTTTCGCCATTATTCCAATAAGTAAAAGAGAATGAAAGCAAGCGTACCGGAACATTTGATTCTGAGCAAACAGATCGGATAGGTGAAGTCAAATTATGTGTATTATAAAACCAAATATTACCATTCGCTAAGCCAGTTGCAAGAATGGATGTGTTTGAGGCTAAATCAACACTTATATATCCATGTTGTTTATCAGCAGGTGATAATGTTTTCATTGGTTTCAGGCAAGATGGAGATATGTTCCACACACGTAAATTCATATCTGGTGCTCCTGCACTAAAAATTAATTTATCAGATGACAGAGCTAAATCTATGCAGTATTCACAGTCATTTATGTCCACTGGAATCGACAGAAAAGACTTAGGATCCCAATGATTCAAAATGTATTCTTTTGTATTTCCAATAATAGGCCACTGCAAACTCCACAAGATAATAGACCCATCAGAATAACCGCAACATAATAAAGTATTGTCTAGTCTAGAAGTTTTAAGAGTATTACATGCAGGAGTAGAACAATTTCTGTGATTAGGATATGAAGGAAATGGTAATATGAAATTCTCGCATTCACCTGTAGGTGTACTAGAAGCAGCTAAAAAAAGAACAATGCATCCATTACTGTATCCAGCGGCGATAACACGGTCGTTTAGAATCCAGCTGATACATCTAGGTTGCACATTGTTTGAAGATGAACTTTCGAAATCAATATTACTACAACGTAACTGTGAATGAAATGAAATTTGCTTTCGGCATTTGTATAAATTTATGAGACCAGTATTAGTCCCAACAGCTAGATATCTTCCTGATCTCTGTGGGTAAGCTATACAAGTTACTATGAAATTCTGTGATAACAAGCTGAAAGTAGTTATATCTGATGCGTTTTGATCGTATTCATGATTCTTGCCAGTATATAGATGTCGAAAAAAAATGGCCGAACCAGAGTGGTCAATAACAGCTAGCTTGCACAACCGAGGATCCCACTGAATTGATCGTAGCACACATGTGTCTGTCATTTGAGGCTTGTAAGTCAGAGAAGGAGAATCAGAAATTTCCAAACTACTTATTTCTGTATTTGACGACGATCCGGAAGAATTTTTATCACAAAATACAGACCAAAAATAGACTGAAGAATTCTGTACAGCAGCGAGACAAATATGTTGGTCAGTGAGAAGCGAATCCCTATACACGGAATAAAAATCATAAGTTATAATGAGTAGTTATATAGGTGCCGATACTACTAGGAGGTAAAATGAAAATGATTTTCCAGACAGTACTGTTACTTCCCCCATTAGTATCACAAATTGCGTATTCAGATCAATATAAACAGAGGACTTAAGGTGGTAGATGAGATCGACCTCTGAGTTACAGGACGTACACCTTCTGACCGCATATACTAACAGATTTACGCGTCGACATAGACTATTACCAAGTATGGATTACAAGTGAAAGAGACTAATGTATTTCAAACAATAGAGTAGGTAACTTAATAAACCAGTCTGCATCTAAAGATGCATTTGAACTAACTTTATGACTCGAGAAAATATTAACATGTGCACTTCCAGTGATGAAAATATTCTATGGTTTTCGCACTAAACATTTAAATTGAGGATTCATAGATCAAGCTGCCCAAACCAGTGCTTAACAACTGCTTTCTACTAATGCATTACACTGATATGAAACCCAGTGATAAGGCTATCACTTTTAGTAATTGCTTATGAGCTGAATACATAAAATTTTAAAAGCACCAAAAAATGAATCTTATTACCATAAAAACTTACATTGCTACAGAAGTATAGCAGTTCGCATCCAGTCAGAAGGTACCTTATGTACTAGAAGGGCATGCAGAGTGGTGTATAGAGAACTAGAAAAAAGAACGAAATAAGAGGTGAATAGATGAACCAGCAAGCGCATAAAATCCATATTTATTCATTCGAAACAGCAATAGACAACTATCAATGATCACCTAAACTCTAGGCTCAACTCTAAGCCGATAACGTTGGGATTCTAAACCATTACAGAAGAGTGCCTTTAACCTTTAGTGAGTTTGCGTTTAGCCAGGAGGTACCTAGTGTGCGCGGTGTATGTGAAGAGCAGTGTATGATGTTATCTGGGAAAAATAACAAGAAAATATTGAGCCGACGACTCAATAAGCACATAAGATGCACTTACATTTAATAGAGAAATCAACATACAGCAACCAGAAATAGAACCAGCGTGAGATCAAGACAAACTGATATATAAAACTACGAGTTGCTAGAGTAAAGTTGCGGATGCGTTACAGAAAGATTATGCATAATTCGCGCGATTGTCACAAAAACAATGACATTGTGTCTATTTAGTACTTTATAACACGTTTCAAGGTTATTTCCAATATCCAATTTTTTTTCTCGAACTAGTACGAATCAATTGATTACTTGGCTTTCAGTCGTTTCTATTCAGTTCCAAGTACTCGGCAATGTTAAAACGACGGTTTTCTAGCAGCTAAAATGCATTGATTCTAGTCAGTTGGCAGTTATTTGTCAGTTTGTATGTCCCGTGATTTGAATTAATACGTTTGTTTCAGGAAAGTAGGGTTTCTGGATACCTGCAGCTATCATATTTTCAAGTTGGAATTAAATTAGCTGCAATATGGAGAATAATAAGCAAAAAGTTCTGATGCTAATAAGAATTTAGGACCAAGTAAATAGTGGATAATTCAGTTTATTAACTAAAAGTGAAGATTGTGCAAGAGGACCATAGTGTAAGCAAGGGCTAGGAAGTAGAGATAACAGGTGATATAGACTAAGTTAAAGATCTGAGGAGACGGCAATAATAACGACCAGAAACTCTCATGATTGGCACCAGGCACACCTTGTCCGGGAGTGAGTTGATTATCCGTATGTGAGTTCGTGATTATCATGTCTCACTTTGGGATGGTTTGGCGTGCTTAATATGTTGTACGCCATGTGTCAGTGCGTTCTTTTCGGCGCAGTTTGCTTTCAACTATCACATTCCCAGGTCGAAGATCAGTTAGTTGTGACAGTAGAGAATTGTAGTGAGAGGAAAGCTTCAAAACTATGTAAATAAAAATGAAGTTGAGTAATTGGTAGTGCAAACGGAATGAGACGACAGAAACGAAGGCTGAGGATACGAAAAACAGATAATAAGCACGATAGTTGCAACGGTTGGTAGAGAATTTCCCAGACAAATCTATCGTGATGTCGTCATCCAACTTGCTAGATCAAATTGTCACAAATGCTTTCACAATTACTGTAAAGTTATAGCAGTTAAATTAAGTGTAAGAGTCAGTTTCTGATTGCATATTTACACCATGTCACTGGCAGAAACAGTATGATACAGCCACATTTTCAATAGTAGAGTACAAATAAGGAAGGTGCACAATAGGTTCTTTTGGCGATTTGTCGAGATCAATAGAGAATTTGTTGGGAAAGGTCATATGGAAGGTGCTTGATACGAGCTGTGATCCAGACAGTCATGTACATAGGGTGCATGTTCCCTAGAGTCGCCAAGGATTTCCCACCGTGAATGGGATTCTGAAAAGGAGAAGAGAGAGAGAGAGAAAGGCAGCGGTGTGGCAAGTGTATATATACAACCAAAGCACTACTTAACTTGTCATGTTGAAGTAGTCAATACAGTAGTAAGTCAACAATATAAAGATATACAGTCTAATTCGTTCAATTCAAACAGCTGTAATCGAAGAGTAGTAAATGAACATGCTAGCGGCCATTTGCAGATTAATAACGTTTCCGGGATTGGTGAAATCGAAGAAGTACTACTGTAAGTAACAATAAGCACCAAGTATGTCTAGTATCCAAGATAAGACGTGATATGCAAAAACAAATGTATGATAGAGCAAACTAAGTAATCATATAAACATGAAATGCTGACATCATATGGCATAGATAAATATAAAAGGTTCTTAAGATAGGTTGTTAAAATTGCAGCAGTGAATAAAGCCTGAAGATGATAGTTGTAGAACTCGGAAAGGAAGATAAAGTAGGGATGAGATTTTAAAGTGTTCAACAAACAGTTGTTTAGATGCTCTGAGAACCTTGCAGACCTTCCAGTGCGCTTTATTTTAAGCCACTTCTCGAGTTTTAACGCAGATTCCTTGTGTATTTTACTGATTGTTGATGGTATCGTAGTATTAGGAGTCATGTAATTTGTTTGTGTTGCGGAATTCAACAGAGACTGTTCCGTTCTTAATAGGCACCTCTCAGCCTATCTGTAATGAGGTTGCTTTAAGTCCCGTTCTTATCACTGGAATAGTTGGTGGTCATTTTAAATCTTTTGACTAGAGGGTAAGTTCAGACTGTAACTAGTATCTACAGACTGTAGCAATATTTGAGGGGAAACTGAGTCTTGCTGCAGATAATTCGAAAAAGCTGTGGACCACTTTTTCAGCAGCTACATCCTTAACATGATCTGCTTCTGGCCATGGTTTTAAACGATCCACACATGTCAGGAGATAAGAGTATCTATCTGGATTCAAGTGAAAATGAACATGGTCGAAGCGAGAGTCTTCGACATTTTTGTTCATAATGGGCCAGCAAATTTGAGTTTCTATCAACCTGACGGTTGATCAGACAGCCAGATGCGGACGTCTTTGCAACTTTTTGAAGCCGCTACGTCAATCTTGGAACTGTTTAAACAAGTTATGCGAGGCAAAGCATCTGAAACTGCATTGTTCGCCCCAAAAATCTGAAGTAAACGTAGTTTAGTTGTTGAGACCCTCGAGTACAATACCTGTCTATTAAAATACTGGATTCTCGGCCTTCCACTGAGGGCTGAATGTGTTGTATTACACATTACAGGGCTAGAAGTACCTAGCCGAGAGTGCTATATCAAGATTCAGCGTCCTGCAAATGTTTACAGCAGAATGCTTAGACTCGATGCATGTTGTTCACCCTTTGTTGTAAGTCTTCTACGATCCTCGTAAGAGACGCGCATTTCGGTATGAAGCGTCGGTAGAAAGTTACTTATGTGTTGGACGTACATAGTTGCTGGAAGTGGTTGGCCCTGAATAATGTCTTCTGCACCCACAGTGATTTGATTATACGCCTTAGCTGAGTGGATTTTTGATCTATCAAAGTAGCTGCTAAACGGCGAATGTGAGGCCACAGGTGACGACTGGGTGTGCCAACAACTGTTGAAAGCCAATCATTGCTGTTCTTTTAAGGGACCATATGTGACGGAAATCGTCATGGGCTTTTTGACAGCCGGATAATCCTCAAACCTATCATAAGGTTGAATTTGTTCAGGCAATTCTTAGCTTTCCAGGAGCTAGTCGCCGGGATTTTGAAAATACAGGTGGTCTTGCATTCGGAATATGATGTGCAACATCACTGGCTACACAGTAGTTGGGGTCGTTTCTAATCTAGTTTCGGGTACTTGTCGAGTATTGGCTGAAAAAATGGGTCAGCTAAGTGTTTAACCGTGTCTCGACATAACCTACACCCGGTTTGTGAAACGTCACAAACAGATAACTTAGTCTTCTCATCTACTAACCTACGTTGGATTGAATCGATGAGTAGGTTTTCTTGATGTAACAAGACTACACCAATGAACCCCATTCACAAATCTACTACAACTCAAATCCGGTGAATGAGTTTGCTTACACATACATGAAGATAGACGTACCTTCTGCCGCAAGTAGCGATCAATTTTTCATTTGCCACTTGTAGATTGAAAACTAAATAATTTAAGAGAAGTTTTCTGCGTCGATGTCGACGAGATAGCGAACCCTCGTCGCCATGTCAGTAACTTAAAGAAGACAGCTCTGTGCTCAGGCTACGTTTGTCGTTAACGCGTGCCAGTAGTAAAGTTCCCGGTAATTTTCGTGACCCAAGATTTAGGCATAGAGAAACCGCAGGATCTCCTGAATGTTACGGAAGACTTACCATGTGTGTTGTGATACCAACACCACTTCTTGTGGTCCAGAAATAGGCCTTTTTGAGATGGGCTTCGTCGAGAGTCGTTGATCGTTTGAAATTATGAAGTTTTAAATGAAGTGTTAGTGTATTACGGGGATATGTAATTCCGTTTCTGGTTGTTCAAGATGTTTGTTCAGCAGAACAAACTTCGGCCTTTGAAGTTCTGCTGATATCCAAAATAAATAGGCTAATGTCGCTAGTTCATCCATGGCGTTTCGGGATGAAATGAATGCATCCTGAACCTGTTGGAAAAATTTTACGGAAAGGCTTTTCGGAAAACACCTTCTTCGAAAGCCTGTTTGATAGGCACCTCATGTTACGTCCAGTTTTTTGCTCGTTGATCTTACGAAGCACTGTTGTCGTCTATTTGTAATTCACGGTCCCAAATTTCTATGCCAAGAACGAAACTCCAAAGTAGATACCAAAGTTTATTCCAAATCACAAATTCGACCAAAATATTTTATTACAAATAGACGACCAATGTCGTTCTTCTAATTTATTATCTCTTGGAGCAAAAAACTGCAACGAACAACAAAGAGAAACGGGAGTCCAATATGTCCGCAAATAATAATTCAAACAAGTTCATAAGTTAAGTAAAACAAATATACCCAAAAAACAGTGAAATTAATGATTATATATATAAAGGTTTGATCAGCAAAATGTCTTCGTTTCTCCCGTAACACCTCACTCATTCGTAGCGACATTTCTGTCGGTGAGCCATGCCGCAGTTCAATGCTGTGGAATTTTAGCCTAACCTTCTTCGATTGGTCAAGTCTCTATGTTTAAGAATCGCTCTTTCTTAGGATGTATTAAGGTTCGGAAACATCACTAGTAAACATAATAGGTTTAATGTGTCTTTTTAACTCCCTCAGGATTGGCCTTACTAAGCCTTTCACAGACGATCGATCATACTACTTTATAATAGAAATTAGAGAAAATGTCCGGTTATTTTAACATGTAGATGCACTCATCAGCAGTGCGCATCTACGACTCCTGCACCCCACAGGAGTCGAACCCAGGACTTTCCGTATTGTGCGCGAACGCCCTAACCGTTAGACCATTGAGCCGGTATCTAACGGTGTTAATGTCTAACGGTTAGGGCGTTCGCGCACAATACCGAAGGTCCTGGGTTCGAAACCTGCGGGATGCAGGAGTCGTGGATGCGCACTGCTGATGAGTCCCATACCAGGACGAAACGGCCGTCCAGTGCTTGCAGGTTTCTAATGGTGGTCTAACATTGATCGATTCATGGTTACAAATAAAACTTAACAATCTTCACAACAACCCCGCAATGCATATAGTTGCACTGTTACAATAAACCAAATGTTCTTTGAATCAAGCCTTTATGAAGATATCTGATTGCTTGTTGTCTCAATCCACAATGATCAAAAAATTTA